TTTAATAGAACGTAAATGTGCGGCCGCTCGGCGTCTAGGCCCAGATGCCGGGAGGCCGCCCATTTGCGTTCAGCCGACGTGAAGAGGTTAAATAGCTCCATGAGAGGTTACAGAACCTTCTAAGAAGAGGTCACCTGACCTTCAAAACTATCTCCTGCCACAGTACCATGGGAAAAGGGGGGCTAGAAATCCCCCTCCCCCTTTTACTCTCATTCTCTACCCAATTCAAAACGGAAACAAAACAATGTATTGGCTTTTTTATGTCCACTGGAACATTCAAATCACTTCAGTACCCCTTTAGCACACCCTTCAGATCCTTTGGATGTGTTAATTCTGGTTCTCCAAGGACCAAAAAGATGGCTTCTTTTTTATGTCTTTTCCTCCAGTTGTTACTTATAAAGACAATTTACTTTCCAGAAGGTCGTTGAGGTAGAAAAAAAATATTAAAAACACGCATGTGAAATGCATTGTAAGTACATGCTCCACACTTGTGATGTGTTCCTATTGGTACCAGTAAAAGAATAGGAGCAAATGGAGTAGGGCTGTGAAGATAGAAATACTGAAACAGCCATTGTGGTCTTTTTTTCTTACAGGATAATTCATCTTTTCAGGCAGAATTTCACTTTTCATAATAAATAGAAGCATCTTCCAATGCCATGTCTGGGCCAGCCATCTCAATGTGCTTTTCTCTCACTTACCTCATCCACAGGACAATTGTTTTGTCAGTTTATATGAGATTTTGAATGGATTTTCAGATTGCATCATTTCCTGTCGGTCTCTCAGCATTCACTTCCTCTAGACCACTTCCCAGAAGCCTTCACTTCCTTGTTGTATCACAGAAGAGGATACGATAGGGTGTGTTCACTACTATGGAAAACACCTCCCTCATTACATTATAACCTTCTTCCCATCAGCAATGTAGTACAAGGGCCCGTCTGATTTGATAGAAATTGAATGGATTGTTCCGGAGAATCCTTCTATTCCATAGTTCTTTTAAATCTAAAGGAAATTGTAGAGATTGTACAATCATATTGCATAGTGTATGTCCATCTTTATACAAGTACATAGGAGGAAGTTGATGGAGACACTCATCTCCATTAACTGTTGTCAGGCCCCATTCACAATTCCACATAGTGAACACTTACATTCCCGCATGCGTTTGTTTTGGGCGTTTTGGAGTGTTTTTACTCATTACGCATAGGGCAGCCTAATCACTTGAATGGGCTGCCATATGTGCAACAATCGCCCCAGAAAAGCTCCAGAACTTTTTTTGGAGCAGAGCATGGTGCGTTACTGCAGTTTTTGGTGTGTTTGCCGCACTAGGGGTGCCTTTAACATGTAATGACAACACAGACACGATGTACATTTGCAGCTGTTTCTGAAACGCATGGCAAAGCATGCATTTTCTGTGCAGATTGCCGTGCATTTGGAAACACACAGATGTGAATGGAGCCTCATTGTTCTGTGTAAATGCACCAATTTCACTTTCAGGCCCCATTTACACCTAGAGTAGTGGGAGTGCATGTTTTTGGGCTTGTTTTTCCAGTAACACACATAGGGCAGCCTGTTGATTTCAATGAGCTGCGCTGCACTTGGCAAAGTAGCTCATGTGATAATTTGGCATGATACGTGTTGCACATTTTTTAATGCACATTTTGCTTCATATGTCACACATTTTTTCATGTGGCAAAACGTGCTTGTTTCTGTGTTTGGTGTGCTGTTAACAAATAATCTTACTGAATGCGCAACTAGGTCATTTTATGTGTATAAAGGTGGCCATACACTATACAATCTGATTGCACAATCTCTGTATGATCTCCTTTAGATTTACCAAAACTACAGTATATAATTTGAGGACACAGCATCTATCCAATCACTTGGCCTGAGCCCCTCTGTAGATACGCTGGGGTAGCCATTCAAATGCACGTGGGGAGAGATCCCAGGGATGATGGGATAAATTGTTGATGAGTGAAGGGTGTGTACTAATGAGGTCAGTGCAGGATGTCTGTACTAATGAGATCAGCTGGTAATCTGTTTCTGAGGTCCTACTGGCTCCTCTGTCCCTTGTCTACATTCCAGGAATTGAAAAGCTTTTTAAGAAATGTACCAAAGGCCAAGGTAAGGCCTTGCTCTCCAGATCAAAGAGAACTTGTATATTTTTGCAACTGAGGTACATTAATGGTATATTGGTGCAAAGGGGAGCTGGATTTTATAAAAAAACAAAAAGTGAACTTGGCCTTTAAGGTGAAGGCTTAGGTTTGGCTTCACAACCTGGTGGCAATTCAGATTTTTACGATTTCACATGCTGCATGTTTATTACAAGTCATTCATTCCCTAAAGCTGGCCTTACACTGAATAAAATTTTACCAGTTCGACAGGGACCAGCAGAATTTCCACATGTATGTGGTCATCCCTACTTGACAGCAATTGATTGCCTGATCAACCTGTTGAAGGGACTGGTTGGAATTTCTTTCTCGACCAAGGGCTGCAAAGGCTGATCAGTTTATTCTGACAGGTACAATTCCCAGCAGAGGAGAGAGATTTCTCCATCCATCTTGCTTGTGTGCATGGAGGAATGAACAAAAAAAAATAACCATCAATGACCTGCTTAACAGCAATGTCAGGATGACAGTCCCATTGCATATACCTTGAAAAGCAAGTCAGCAAAGGAAGATAAGCACTTTTCCAACTGAACAGGGTCTCTTTACAGGAAATTACAAATAGCTTTTCAGGCACATATTCTTATCCTCGTTTCTTTAATACTGAAGTCATTCTAAAAAGCCACTTTATTTTCCAGTGCTTTCCATTTATAGATTTATAGCCTGGCTTCAATAGCTTCTCAGTATGTTATGTTGAATCCCATAACCAGGTGTTTATACAACATATGATCTGCATTCACTAATCTCCCTGGGGACACTCAGGCCTTGCACAGCTATTTGTTAGATGGCAACGGTGGAAATTGTAAACGTTATTCGGAATATTATTCAAACCATCTCATTATTATACATTTGTCTTGTAATGGAAGACAAGCCAGTGTCCCGGTGACACATTGTATTCTGTCACATACTGTATTCTGTTGTGCCAGTGGAGGAAATATGAATGATGCAGGAGGCATCTAGGATTCAGATGAGGTTACAGAGCATGAGACTAATACGCATTATTATTACTAGCGATCAGCAGTTAAGGGCGCAGACTGAAAGCTGTTTAAATTAGAACGAGGGAGGCAGGGAGCAACTAATGAACAGTTTAACACTTCTGTTCCAAGCATTGTCTTCGAATGTCTTGGGAGCACAGGTAAAAATAGTAATAAGGCTAGAAGACAGGTAAAAATAGTAGACTGGTACAAGTGTAGCCTTGATAATCCTGATCTGTACAAAGCGGGAACATTCTGTTACCTGGGGGAACCACTGGCTTCATTTTGTAACACTTTCCAGTGTATCTAAACCCAACATCAAATTGTATTATACTGAAGCTTTCTAGCCCTTACATGTGGTGACTGTTTTTTTTCAGGATTTTACTTTCCTGCCAATAAAACACTTCATGTCCTAAGGTGACAACATTCTCTCACTGCACTGTATCTATGGGGGAGCATTGTTGTCACCATAGGATAGGAAGTGTTTTAGGGCTGTAGGACACCTCACCCTCTTCTTCTCCTATAACATAGAAAGAAGTTTGTTTTTATTTTATTTTACACCTGGGAATTTTATGTCAGTGAGAAGTCAATGTGTTGGCAGGTATAGTGCCCCTTTGAGAGATACCACTGATGTTAGTGGGTGGAATCTGTATCCTTTACCATCAGCTGTAAGTGGGGTCCTGGGGAGAAGGGAAATGGGATTAGGTCACCCCAGATCAACATCATATAGATCTGTGCAAAAGTGAGCCTCCTACAGGGCTGGACTGACAGAAGGCTTAAAGTGTTACTAAACCAACAACAGTAAAATCAGTCTGTATATTCAGTAAAGCATGCTTGTTATACTCACTGTGGAACCTAAGGGGTTAATCCTCTGCATTGTGTAGTAAGGCTGTTTGATCCTGACTTCTCTTATCCTCCCCTTCTTCCAGTGTCCCTCTCTTATCTCCTAATAAGACACATCGTGTGGAAACACTTTGCACATACTCAGTTTGGTGTGTATTGCTAGAAAGGTTTTTTTTTTCTTGGGAGAGTGCATGTGATCAGCACTGTCCAGACAGAGGTCATGGATTCTGCATCCTCTCAGAGCAGAATTGTTGTCATATATCATAACAGGGATGACGAGTGATAATTACAATTGTTGCTGAGGTTCTACGGAATGTAAAACTCCTCTATCCCAGAAATGCATTTTCCTGCAGCAACAAGCTCAACTGTTCTTTTCCAGGGAGATGCATTTAACGCGGTAGTAATCCGCAAAGGATACAAATAAAAAAAGTCCCCTGCAAGGTAAAGGCATAATGTGCTAGTATACATTGCACACTAGCACATTATGAAGGACTTACCTTAAAACGAAGCCCTCCAGCGGCATGCTTTCATTGCCGCAAAGCCTTCCATCTTCTTCCGGGCTCGCAATCTCTGGCCATCTGACAGGCAGGGCCGCAATGAGGTCACTCCCGCACCACAACACATAGCTCTGAAGGCACTGGTATAATGTTCCTTCAGAGCACATGCATCGGCTTTAGGAAAGAGAGAATATCTCCTAAACGGTGCATGTTTAGGAGATATTCATTTTACCTACAGGTAAGCTTTATTATAAGCTTGCCTGTAGGTAAAATTAACCACTTACCTACAGGGCACTTATACCCCCTTCCTGCCCAGGCCAATTTCCAGCTTTCAGCGTTGTCGCACTTTGAATGACAATTCGTGGTCATGCAACACTGTACCCATGTGAAATTTTTATCATTTTTTTTGAGACAGATAGAGCTTTCTTTTGGTGGTATTTAATCACCTCTGGGTTTTTTTTATTTGCTAAACAAGCCAAAAACAACTGAAAATGTTGAAAAAAAAAAATGTTTTTTCTTAGTTTCTGTTATAAAATTTTTGTAAATAAGTGATTTTTCTCCTTCACTAATGTGCACTGATGGGGCTGCAGTGATGGGCACTGATGAGGAGGCATTGGTAGGTGACACTGATGGGCATTGACTGGGATCACTGATGGGCACTGAAAGGCAGAACTCATATGGCACTGATAGGTGGCACTGATAGGCAGCACTGATAAGCGGCACTGATGTGCAATGATAGGCGGCACTGCCTGGCATTGATAGGTGGCACTGAAAGGCAGCTCAGGTGGGCACTGATATGTGGCATTGATGTGCACTGGTAGGCACTGATTTGTGGCATTGATGGGCACTGGTACGTGGCACTGATGAGCACTGACAGCTGGCATTGATTGACACTGACAGGTGGCACTGCTGGGGCTACATTGATCATCAGTGCCTTGATGATCCATGTACATGTCCCCTCTGAGGAATGCCAATTACCGGCTCTCCTCTCCTCATGAGCTGTCAGCATGACAGCTCGTGAGGAGAGAAATGCCGATAACCGGCATTTCTTTATTTACATGCGATCAGCTGTGATTGGACACAACTGATCACATGACAGAATCGACGTCTTTGGCTCTTTCCATTGATCGGTGATCCGCTGTTTTTTAACGCTCGGCAAACGCCGCATGTGTGGTTTAGCGGCAGTTGCTAGGCGTTTGCCGAGCATTAAAAACGCCCCACAAACGCCTATAATGCAGTTTGAATGGTGTTACCGCTCCGCAAACGCCCCTCAACCGCATTGCAACTGCACCGCAAACATCAAATAATAAAAGAAATGTATACGAGCGCACCTATAAGGAAAAAGTAGCAGCTGAACATCAGGTAACCAAACACCCCAAAGAACCAGTATATCATAAAAATGCAGCGCTATAAGTAGTGAATAAAGAACTACTACATATAGTGAATGAGTATATATGTCAAATAAATACAATAAGTAAAGAAATCAATCCATGCAGCAGTTCATAGTATAAGGTGACTTCAAGTGCTCTCCTCTAATTCATATTCTCCTGATATTCAGGTGCTGTGCGGAATGGTGCTGAAGGAATGCACACTCACCAGAACGCACAGTTAAATGAGCGTTTGTCAAAAAAAATGAATTCCCCTCTGGGTCATCAACTGGTCAGGATAAGGTCTGCAGTGCGGTAACCTCCCTCCAGAGCTCCTGGGTGCTCCTGTCTGCTCCCTCAATAGGTGGCCTGCGGACTTCTCCTCACAGCATACACACGCTCCTTACCCAGTAGATGGATGAGTGGCTGAAAATTGATGCTCCCCAAGGGAGTCAAGACAAGGACATACCCATAGTGTAATAGGTGATAGAAAATTTATTGGCATATCAGGCTACTCGGTGATACACAACAGTGTGTATGAATGAAATGTGGACTAACCGTCCAGAGTTAAAGATGGCCGCCGGAGCTCCACGATGCTCCGATGGCGTGACGTCACGGCGTTCTTGGCTCCTCCTACGCGTTTCGTGCACACGCAAATCCCCCCAGACGACGTGCGTGTGCACGAAACGCGTAGGAGGAGCCAAGAACGCCGTGACGTCACGCCGTCGGAGCATCGTGGAGCTCCGGCGGCCATCTTTAACTCTGGACGGTTAGTCCACATTTCATTCATACACACTGTTGTGTATCACCGAGTAGCCTGATATGCCAATAAATTTTCTATCACCTATTACACTATGGGTATGTCCTTGTCTTGACTCCCTTGGGGAGCATCAATTTTCAGCCACTCATCCATCTACTGGGTAAGGAGCGTGTATATGCTGTGAGGAGAAGTCCGCAGGCCACCTATTGAGGGAGCAGACAGGAGCACCCAGGAGCTCTGGAGGGAGGTTACCGCACTGCAGACCTTATCCTGACCAGTTGATGACCCAGAGGGGAATTCATTTTTTTTGACAAACGCTCATTTAACTGTGCGTTCTGGTGAGTGTGCATTCCTTCAGCACCATTCCGCACAGCACCTGAATATCAGGAGAATATGAATTAGAGGAGAGCACTTGAAGTCACCTTATACTATGAACTGCTGCATGGATTGATTTCTTTACTTATTGTATTTATTTGACATATATACTCATTCACTATATGTAGTAGTTCTTTATTCACTACTTATAGCGCTGCATTTTTATGATGCACCGCAAACATCGGCCAGGCGTTTGCGGAGCGGCACCATAGATTAGAATAGGAGGCTTCAACGCACCCTGACTCGACCAGAGGCGTCCGTTTTGCGGCAACGCAAACGCTCCCGTTAAAACAGCACCATGTGCTGTGCAAAATTGGCAGAGCATTTGGCCAGCGGTTAAAACTGCTTCCCAAATGCCCTACTCAAGTAATGTGCAAAATTGGCAGAGGCATTTGGGAAGCGGTAAAAACGCTTCCCAAATGCCTCTCTGCCGCCTACACACAACGCTGGTGTGAACGTAGCCTAACTGAAGTTGTCTAGATATTTCCTAAACTGCATTCTTTTACCATTAATTAAATAAACAAGTTACTCTTTGAAGAATGCTATTTACAATACTTAATACGCCTTAATACCCCTTTTCATATCATTAGATAATTAGATGCTGGCCAAGTCCCTTCAAGTCCAACTCAATCTGAATTTTATCACCCTTCCAAGTTTGTAAATTACCTAACAAGTTGGCAAGTCCAAGATGAATCTTAAAATTAACATAGCAAAGAGTCCTTGGCTTCCAAGTTTGTAAATTGCACCTCAACAGATGCTGGCCTGGTCAATAATGTGAATATACACTCAATATATGCTGTGTATATACAGTCAAGGCCGAAATTGATGGCACCCTTGATATTTCTCCAGGAAATCATGTATTTCTCACGAAACGTTTGCATTAACACATATACACATGCCCTTTGTGTGTATTGGGACAAAACACATTTAAAAAGGTTCCTTGTCACACAAACCTCCAAAAATGCTATATTGGCACCCTTTCACAACTGTAAATAAGTGTAAAGCATGTGATGCTCCTGTAAACTCAGGGGCAAGTAACAGTCAATATAGAAATGAAAGCAGATAAAATATGGAGAGACGTTCACTTAACCTTTGGTTGTGTGTCTGTCTGTGCCACACTAATGGACAACAGAAATCTGAGGAGACGAGAACTGTCGCACTGTAGGACCTGAGAACCAAAATTGTGGCAAAATATCAACAATCAAGGTTACAAGCCACTCATATGGAGATTATGAAGTGTGGCCACAATGTTATATGTTGCAAAAAGGTGTCCTTCCAATAAGAGAGACCTGGAGCTGTTTCCAAAGGAAGATATATTGATGGTTAAGGAAGCGATGATTGTGCAACCAACAAAAATACTTTTTGAGTCAGCCAAAAGCCATTCTGGGAAAACGTTTGTGTGACAGATGTCATATGTATGCTAGGAGAATAAAACTTGATTTGGCTGGACAAAAAAAAAGGGAGGCAAGAAGTATTGGCACCCTTTCACAACTGCGGATAAATAAGAATGTTACAAGCATTGTGATGCTCTGTAAACTCACCTGGGGCAAGTAAACAGGTGTGGGCAATATAGAAAATCACACGTTCACTTAACCTTTGCATTGTGTGTCCTGTCTGTGCCACACTAAGCATGGACAACAGAAAGAGGAGACGAGAACTGTCTGAGGACCTGAGAACCAAAATTGTGGCAAAATATCAACAATCTCAAGTTACAAGTCCATCTCCAGAGAACTAGATTTGCCTTTGTCCACAGTGCGCAACATTATCAAGAAGTTTGCAACCCATGGCACTGTGCTAATCTCCCTGGTCGTGGACGGATGAGGAAAATTGATGAAAGATTGCAACGCAGAATAGTCCGATGGTGGATAAGCCTTCTAAAAAGCTTTGGACAGATGAGACCAGCTACCGAAAACTGCCTACGGTAAAATGGGAAATCTGAGGATTAACCCACTGAGACAATGACCCCAAACATACGTCAAAAAGCACTCAGAAATGGATGGCAAAAGCAATGAGCCCAGATCCCATTGAACACCTGTGACTTTAAATTGCCTTCCAATAACCTGGAGCTGTTTGCAAAGAAGAAAAATTCCGGGTATTTCAGAAGCTTATTGATGGTTATATATTTTCAGTTATGTTTTCCAAAGGGTGTGCAAAAATATTAAGTTGGGTGCAATACTTTTGTCCCCATTTTTGGGGTTTTGTGTGTATATTTGCTTTTCTGTCTGTTTTAGTTCCAATACATACAAAGGGAATAAACATGTGTATAGCAAAACATGTGTTAATGCAATACCTTTTTTGTGAAATACTTGATTTTCAGGAAAAATATCAAGTGCCAACAATTTCGGGACTTTATATATATATTTACAATATCCTAGGAGAATAAAAACTCCTTCTAAAGCTTTAGCTACATGAACACTGACAAAAGTCACAAGACTAAGAGATGACCCTCTGTTGTGTGTAGTAGATCAGTGGCAGGAAAGTGGTTGAGGATCAGGGCAGGAAAGTGCTGCTGTTGATAAGTCGTATTGCTGGAAACTTTTGTGCTATGCACTGTAAGGAGTATTGGAACTGCTGTGTAATGCACTGAACAGAGGAAAAGATATTGTTATGTCAGTAAGTTGTCCATGTTGTTCTACAGTAAAGCATTGAAAAGCATCTTCAGTGGACATTCTTTATTCTTAGAGGCAAGCTTTTGGCTGCTAATGTGAGTACTGTGCAAAAGGGCTTCAGGCCATAGTAGTGGGTATTCCTTGTCACACTGTATTATTTGCATGCAGACTGCCCTAGGTAATGCCCACATGTGATGCTGAGCTTCGCTAATTGAAAGGACTAAAATTCAAAGAATGAAAGAGACAGGTCAGAGGCAATAAGGCAGGAGAGGAAAGAACTAGATGAAGCCAGGCACCCTGTAGCCTTGAAATACAGAGGAATCTGAATGTCTTCCTATGGATTAACCACTTGCCTACTGGGCACTTATACCCCCTTCGTGCCCTGGCCAGCTTTCAGCGCTGTCGCACTTTGAATGACAATTGCGCGGTCATGCAAAATTGTACCCATATGACATTTTTATCATTTTTTTTCTCACAGATAGAGCTTTATTTTGGTGGTATTTAATTGCCGCTGGATGTTTTATGTTTTGCTCTATAAACAAAAAAAGAGCAAAACATTTTAAAAAATAAAGTTTTTCTTGTTTCTTTTTTTTCTTTATTATAAAATTTATCAAACAGGTCATTTTTCTCCTTCACTGATGTGCATTGATGAGGGGGCACTGATAGGCAGCACTGATGTGCATTGATGAGGCTGCACTGATAGGCAGCACTGATGGGCACTGATAGGCAATACTGATGAGGTGGCATGGATAGGCAGTACTGATAATGCTGCACTGATGGGTACTGATGGGCAG